TTCTCTCCCCATTCCTACCCTTCAGAACCTCTCTTTTTTTGTTGATATCACTACTATCCTTTCTCACTTCAGATATCAGATTAAAAATAATCTGAGACTTTTTGAATCTACCTCTACACTTCTGTAGTCTGTCTCTTGGCTTTTCTACCCACATAGCTACTGCAGTAGCTCAGGTTGTCCTGGATTGTTGTAGTAGCCTTGTCATTGTTTCCCTCTGTGAGTCTCCCCTCTCTGTCCTCCTCCACACAACTGCCAAAGTGATTCCTAAGGCATAGGTCTGACCGTGCCACTCCTTTGCTTCATAAACCTCAGTGGCCTCCTATTTTCTCTAGGATTAAATGTTAACCTCTTCTTGATATTTAAAGCTCTTCACAGTCTGACTCTTAACTTATTTTTCTAGCCATATTACGTACATTACTTATTTTCATTTTATCTTTCAGCTAAACTGGCTTAGGCATGACATTTCATCTCCTGGTTCCCTGCCTTTGTACAGTTATCTTTCCTGTGCCTGGAATGAATTTCCAATTCTGCCTCTGAGAATCTCTAGCTTCTGTAAGATGATACTTTTTTGGGGACCTTTTCTGATCCACCCAGTTGTTAGTGGCTTCCCCCACCCCCATTACCTTGTTAATTTTGTATATTCTTACTTTGTACTTTGTGTATATGTTTCCTCCCTCCTTGGCACATCCCTCTGCACCAATCACTTTAAAGGCAGGGGCCATTTCATTTTTATCTTTGTGTCCCTAATACCTAGTACAGTTCTTGTTCTCGTTCAGTTGTTTTTCAGTCATTTTGAGTCTTCGTGTCCCCATTTGGGGTTTTCTTGGCAGAGATACTGGAGTGGTTTGCATTTCTTTCTCCACCTCATTTTACTAACGAGGAAACTGAGGCAAACAGAGTTGAAGGGACTTGTCCATGGTCACACAGTTAATATCTGAGACCAGATTTGAACTCAGGAAGATGAAGCTTCTTGAATCCAGGCATGGCACTTTATCCACATGATTCACCTGACTGCCCACAGTTATTGTTACATGCTTAAAAAAATGTTTGTTGATTGAGTAATTGATACAAGTTATATAACTGAGCGCTAAATTATGTATGTAGTATTACTATAAATGATGGCTATAGGAATTAAGGGAAGTTTTTGAAGTGGTAAGGACTAGAATAGTTGGGATAGCAGAGGAGCTTTTGGTGTAACAAACAAGGAGCCATTGAATGTTTTTGATTAAAGAAATGGCCTGATTCAAGCAGTATTTACATAAAAGTTTTATGGCACCAATATGTTGGATGGATTAGAGGGGACAGAGAGAGAGATGTTATTGCAGTGAAATTAAGTGATGAGGCCTGGCATTTGACATTATTTCCTCAAGTGAGGAGGTTACCTTTTTTTTTTCACCATCTGATCTTTCCTACAGTTTTCATAGTTCACTGGAAAGCTTTTTTCTGAAGTTACCAGTGACTTCTCTAAATAGGATTTTTGTTTTCTAAAAATCTTCCCCATTTGATACCTTGAAAGAGATATAAGATTTCTGTCCTTTCTACTGTCATTTGGTGTTATACATGCAACACACACACACACACAACACACACACACACACACCACACCACACACACACACACACACACCCCGCCCCCCCCATACCCTTCCCTAATTAAAATGAACACTTTGTGAAAATGAAAGTTCCTGAGTCTTTGCTTCCCTGCCACCATTAATGGTAAATAACTATTCTTTAATCATATGTCTCTTTCTTGCAAAACCCATGTACGAATTCTACAAGGTAAATTAAAAATTGTATTTAGGTTTCTTGGGAGTTGGGACTCCCTTCAGTGCTACAGACCTTTTCCCCTTCACACTTAAGTAGATGTTCTCAGTGATTTGAAAATCAACCCCCTTCCCATCCTCCCCTCCCCCCCTCAAAAAAAAAAAGCAAACCCACCTGGTTATCATCCTATTCACCTTTATGAACTTAGGCTAGCCCTGGAACAACAAATGCATTGTCTGTTACCAGGCTAGTACTCAAAGTTTTTCCAGTTCAGTCAGACCTGTTAGAGCTTGCCCTTTGTCTATACAGCCTGTGAGAACCTAGAGTCATTCGTTTCCACTTAAGGAATGTATTTTATTTTGATACTGTGATCCCATCGTTGTGGGTGTAATCCAGAGGTACAGATTGTAGTTTGTCCATGCCTTTTCATCTTGTACATCTCTTACCTATGTTCTCCTGTAAATTATCCATAGGAGGTCCGTTCAACATGCTGGGGACCTTCCATATTTCTTCATGACATTACAGTGGATGTCAGTAGCGTATATAGGTTCTTATTCCATAGTCTCAGTTTAAAGTCTTTGGAGACTAATATTTCATGATTTGTAGCCGTATTGGTGTTGAAAATATCAGCTTTTGTTTCAGGTGGGATCATCAAAAACATTGTCTGCAGTGTCTCAAAGACATATAGCCTACTTTCATCATGCTTGATTCTGGACCTGCTTGTCTTGTGGTGCATTTGGCCAAAATGTATATATTGACCAGCTTTTTGAGTTACTTGTATATGTGTACACATTAGTTTGGACAATAGGCAGTCTTTATCTACTTGTTTTTCCCATGTGGAAATATAGGTCAAACTTTTTATTGATAGATTTCTGTATCTCATTTAGGAGAATCTGCAGTATTGTAAGACTTGATGAAATTGGCACATCATTGACTGCAAACAGAGCATTGGGAGGGCGTCTCAGTCTATTGGGAAGTCCTTTTTTCATTTGTATTTGTCTGTAATGCTGGCAGATATCTTTGACAAGCATATATTCCTTTTTCATGCTGTATACAATATTAATAGTCAAGGGGTTATTGAATAAAGTTGTCTTTGTTACATCTTTTAAGGAATCTTGAATGGTTTTGACATATGCTTGGGAGACAGTGTAGTGAGGGAGAACCTTTAAGGCAGAACTTTACTCTTAACTAAATGCTTTTTTATACTCAACAGTTGTATTTTCTATACCTTATAGGCTGTTGTGTGACTGAATGTATAGTCTCCTGTTGGCTCTGGTTTGCAAAAACCTATCTATTTCATTCTTTTTGTTAAGGATGCTCTTGGTACATGTATACCTAAAATTATTTAGAAATAGAAAAATAGGCCTGTGTAGTTGGTAGGTTTTTATTTTTTTAGTCACCTTTTGTTGGGTAATCGTATTTGAAATGTGCTGTTCTGCCATTTTTCAAATATCTTGAAAAGTGATTCCTTAATAATACCCTCAGAATTATGTGACTTCAGTGCACACCTCCCGTTTGTTTGCATTGTCTGTTTTCCTCTCTTTTCTTCAGTGCCAGTATATTTTATATTTATTTAAATAGTTTTGTGATCAGTCTCTTCCTCGATGTAATATCTTTCTTTCTTTGCCTCCTCTTACTGTCTCAGCTCTCCTCCCTTTAGCACTTTTGATTTAGGTCATAGAAACATAGAGTTAGAGTTAGAAGGGACCTTTAAGTACATCTAAACCAACCTCTTCACATTATAGATGAGGGAACTGAACTGAAATTTTGAGAGGGTAAATGACTTGCTCAAGGTCAAACAGATACTAAATGTTCTCAATGCCAAAGCCAGTGTTTGTTTGTTGTGTCATGTTACTTCTTAGCATGTCTGAGAAACTACTCTTATCCCTTATTCCTGTTTTCTTCTTGTCTTCCTTTTCTGGCACTAAAAATGACACTTTTGGATTAGATTTCCTTGTCTTAATTATTTTTTTTGGCTAGCACTGACTTGGAACTTTCGGTTCCAAGGCGTTCTAGTATAAGGACAGTTACAGCTATCCTGTCTCTGTTCCTGGTTCTTCCTAGAAGGTCTTTCACCCTTTTATGTGTCAGTGTTAACTGAGCAGATTCATACTGTCTTCCTTCATCTTCCTGTCATGATGCAAATATTTGGATTTGAAAACTGGTGAACTGTTACAGAGCCCAGATGACTGAAAATTTACTAATTGTGGCTTGATATATATAGCCCAGCCTTAAATCCTGTTCTCCTTGCTATTTGTACATGACTTGGTCTCTGCTGCCCTCTTGCAGTTCACCTCTTCTTCTGTGGCTTGTTTCCTCCCTGCTCACCTCCTTTTGTGGGGGTGAGGAGAGGAAGAAGTTATTGTCTATTATTTCCCCTTGTCTTATTTACTAGTGTTCTAGTATCTGCATAGTTCTTTTGTGCTCAACGCCAAGGCTGGCTAGCTCCCTTGCTTTTCTTATCCAAACTGCTTTGTTCTCCCCTTCTTCTACTGCTCTACTCCCCATTCTTATAATTTTTTTTTTGTTTTGGTGAAGGCATTTGGGGTTAAGTGACTTGCCCAGAGTCACACAGCTAGTGAGTGTTACGTGTCTGAGGCTGGATTTGAGCTCAGGTCCTCATCTGACTCCAGGACTGGTGCTCTATCCATTGCACCACCTAGCTGCCCCAATTCTTATAATTTCTTGTATGTCTTCCTCACTATTACTCTTTCTTCTTCCTGTCTTTACCTTGCTCTGCCACCTCACCTCCTTTGTGACTTGTATTTTTGTTAGTCTGTCATTACCAAAGTTCTATTAGTTGTCATCACCAGAAGTACTTGAAAAGCAGTGCCACAGGACAAATGTGTGGTATACAGGCTTTTAAAGAGTTTGAGGGGCTTGTTATAAAGTGAATGATGAATGGGCTTTGCAGATTGAGGGACTGTAGTGACCATCCTATTTAAAGGCAAAGGCCACCAATCTGGCATCATAAATCACCTTATATGTTGTACTATAACATTTCAAAAGAAGATTTGTTTTTGTATTTTAGAGAGGAAAAAAATTAAGAGAAAAAAAAAGATTGGAAATGTTGAGCCCTTAAATATTTGGTTTGGTCATTAACATACTCAATCTTTTTCCTCCAGATTTAACTCAGGCTTTCCCTCACTTTGGAACTCCTAGATTTGTGAATATTGGATTTTTTGAGAAGCAGGGGTTCTTTCCTTGATATTGACTAAGGAGTCTATTTGCCTTCAGGATGACATCTGAACTGGAGAGCAGCCTCACATCTATGGACTGGTTACCACAGCTCACCATGAGGGCAGCCATCCAAAAATCTGATGCTACACAAAATGTACATGGAACCGGTATTTCAAAGAAGAATGCACTTCTGGACCCAAATACAACATTGGACCAGGAGGAAGTCCAGCAGCACAAAGATGGGAAACCACCATATAGTTATGCCAGCCTCATTACATTTGCCATTAATAGCTCACCCAAAAAGAAAATGACTCTCAGTGAAATTTATCAGTGGATTTGTGATAACTTCCCGTATTATAGAGAAGCTGGCAGTGGTTGGAAGGTAAGAATATTTATATTTAAACATGTTTGCTTTTCTTTTATAATGAGTAATAAAAATGTGGCATTGACTTTCTGAAGTTCTAGTTCAAATTTCTTTTCTAGAATAAAACTAGAATAAATTAGAATATATTTAGATTATAAGGTGATTTTAAAGATACAAAAGAATAGAGGAAACTGTGTTGCTATTTGAGTGGCTAACAATTCATAATAAAATATAAAAATAGTTCTTTAAGGATAAATACAGCATAGGCTGAGTAATAGGAGAGATGCCTGTTGTATCCACTTACAGTAGCCATCTGAGAAACATTCCAGGTAAGCTTACATTCACGCTTATAGGTAAAAACTCATTGCATTTAATTCTAATGTTATTACCAGCCTTACGTAGACCATAACTGAAGTGAAATTTTGGTTGCAAAGACCATCCCTTCTCTCTACCTTTGCTATGTAGTTTCTGAGGAAAAGTAAAAAATTGATCCTTTCATTAGTTAACCGTCTCTTATGCCCACGAGCCTGTCCCCACTTGACTTTACTAGGAGCTTCTTTCTCACTTTAATTTAATTTTAAAAATTAAATCTCACTTTAATTTGATCTTTAAATTAATTAAAATCTTTAAATCTTTCTCCTACCTCCTTTACATTTACTTACAAATATGACCAGATCTCCCCTATCCATTTTTTAAAAATAATACCAACAAGAAGGACCTTCACTTAACCTTGCCTCATCCCCTCAAGTTGTTTTCTGTCAGTTTATGGATAAATTCTTGTAAAGAGTTATTTTTACTTGCTGCCTCCACTTCTTACTCTTCTCCCCATACACACTTTTCAACTCCTTGCAAATCTCAAAGATTACCAATTAGTTCTTTTTATTTTTAAAGTATTTATTGATACCTTTTTTTTTTACATCCCCTTTATTTCCAAATATATGCCTCCCTTCACCTTACCTAGGAATCCAATCCTTGTTAAAAAAGAGTAAAAGAAGACTGAGGGGGAGAAAGCATTTCAGCAAAACCAACCAGCGCAGCTGTGTTCGACAGGAAATAAAATGTTCCACAGCTAGATTTTCCACCTCTACAGAGAAGGGAGGGAGATAAATTTTCTTGTATCTTTTCCAAGGTCAAGTCTAGTCATTAAAATTACATGGCATTCAAGTTTTTGTTTTTATTTTTTATTCTTTCCATTTACATTGTTCTCTTTTTTTTTCCTGGTTCTGTTTATGTCACTTTCCAATGATTCATAGCTCATGCTTCTTTGTATTTTTCATATTATTTTTTCATATAGTGCAGTAATATCCTATTTCATTCATTTACCACAGTGCGTTTAGCCATTCCACAATCCATAGGCATCTACTTTGTTTCTAGTACTTAGCTGTCACAAAAAACAAAAACTGCTGCTGTAAATATTTTAGTGTATATGGGGTCTTTCTATCTGCTATCCTTGGAGTATGTGTATGTCCATCAAAGGAATCTTTGGGTCAAAGGCCATGGACAGTTTGATCACTATATTATTGTAATTTCTAATTTCTTTAAAGTTTGGTTGGGCTAATTCATAGCTCCACCAACAATTGATTAGTGTGCTTGTCTTTCTGTAACCCTGTCAACGTTAACTATTCCTGTCTTCAGTCATCTTGGCCAGTTTACCGGGTGTGAGGTAAAATTTCAGGATTGCTTGATTGCATTTCTTTTCCTATTAGTGATTTGGAGCAGTCTTCCATGTAGTTTTTAATAGTTTGCAGTTCTTCTTTTGAGGTCTGCTTGTTATATTCTTTTACCACTTATCTCTTAGGGATTGCTTCTTGTTCTTAAATATTTATGTTAGTTTCTTATATATCTTGAATAACAGAACTTTCCCAGAGATATTTTGGTACTAGGCCTTTTCCCCGTCATTAGCTTCACTCCTCCTAGTTGCCTTCATTTTGTTTGTGTAGAAGCTTTCTAATTTTGTGTAATTAAAATTAATTAATTTTATCTAATGTAGTTTCCTCTGTGATTAAGCCATGTCTATGAACTTTGTACTAATCCGGTTCTCTTCTAATTTTTTTTTTATGGTATGATCTTTAACATTTAGGTTATATATCCATTTTGAACTTAATTGTGATATATGTTGTAAGGTGTTGGCTGAAATTTAATTTTTTGTTTCTGGTTCTTTATCTAGTGTGTTCTGACCAGTGATTTCTTAACTTGATGATTCTCACAAGTTCTTTGCTTATAGCACAGTAGCTTTTTGTTTTGATGCTTAAGTTTGTAGCAACATAGAATGATAAAGAGACTTATACACACATGGTTTCCCTTCAATGAAAGCAGCCATTTTTGTTGTGTTTTCTGTGAGTTTAATATCTACAAGTTTTGAGGTCAGTATGTACATTAGTGGACAAGTTTTATTTATGTGGATGTTGTACTTAGTATTACATATGCTAATTAAGTAAGATTTATTAAAATAATTTTTTGTTCATTAAGTCACCAAGAAATCAGGGTGGGAAAAGGAGGGAAGTGTAAGTAGTGGAGGGGTGATGGTCTGGGAAAGTGCTGAGGAGTTGAGGGTTTGCAGGTCATTGTGGAGACAAAGAAAAGTATTTGGGATTGCAAGGCAGATAGATTGTGATCAGATAAGGGAATTTTAGAGTTCATGAACTTGAAAGTGTTACATTCTAGATCAAGGTAAGATCCAGGATATGCCTAACTTTGTGTGTGGCTGAGATAAATTGGAGGAGTAGGTCATTGGAAATGAGTAATTTAAGGAACTGTAAGGCTAGTGTGTTTGAGGGATTATCAGTATATGTTTGAAATCCTGTGGTATTTTTGAGGAGGGTAGGAGTTGAGGTTACAGGGGGTTGCATAAACTTATCTGCAGTAACATAATATCCAGAGTTTTGTAGCACATTTGTCTCTCATATCACATCCTTTGAGAAGCCGTTGTCTTAACTACTATATTTGGTAACCCTTTCATGAGTAGTCTTTATCTTAATCTTGTGTAATTCACCACTACCTCTACAAATTGGATATTCTGTCCTCTCTTATCTTTTGTGGTGCAGATACTTCTTGTGTTATATAAATTTGCATTACTCAAACTGCTTATGATTTCTGAAAGAAATCTGCATTCCAAAAAGATAGCTATGTTAACTTTACAGTTCTTTGCTGTCTCTCCATTCCTACCCTCTCAGGAGATACTCGTGCTTCATTTTTCTTCATGATCCCAGTAGCTAGCACAGTACCTCACACATGGTAGGTTTTTTTTTAAATATAGTAAATTCTTAATGAATGTTATTGAATTGGATAATTTTTTTATAACAAATCTTGTATGAGATAATTTATCTATTCTCTGCCCATAGAATAATCATTTTCTCTGAAAAAAATCATCATTATCCAATACAGTCCAATAAATATTTATTAAGTGCCTATTATGTGCCAGGCACTATGGTAAGTGCTGGTGTTACATTTAATAAAAAGAAATGCAGTCCCTGCCCTTAAGGAACTTAGAATCTAAAGGGTGACACAGCATACAAAAGGAGGCAGGAAAGTGGGGGAGTAAAGGGAGGGGAACCCAGGATGTGTCTTGTTCCATGGAGTTGAAAGTAGGTAGAGCAGCATATGTAAAATGGAATGAACTGAGAGTCCAGTTTCTGCCCTCTATAAAGGAAGGCATTGGGAGGAATTCTGTTATATGCTAGAGAAAGTTGAGCTCTTTGTAACTTTATGTTCTGTCACCAAGTGGTTAATTTTAATAGTTACTTATTATTATTTTTTTTTTTTTTGGTGAACAAGCATGTACTTCTCTCCTTATTCCCCCATTGGAAGAAAATGTCTCATTCTGTATATTTAGTCCACCACCTCTCTGTCAGAAGGTGGGGTAGCATGCTTCATCATCAGTCCTCTGGGATCATGATTGATTATTGTATCAGTTAGATTTATTAAGTCTTTTAAAATTGTTTATTTTAAGTGTTGATTTTTTTTTACAAATTGTTTTCATGCTTTTGCTTATTTTGCTCTTTATTGGTTCATACAAATCTTCCTACATTTCTCTGAAAGTAACCTTTTCATTATCTTAAGATTTATTAATTTATTTATTTTTAGTTTTCAGCATTCACTTCTACAAGATTTTGAGTTCTGGGTTTTCTCCCCATCTTGTCCCTGCCCCAACCTCAAGACAGTGTGCATTCTGAATACCCTTTCCCCTAATCTGCCCTGCCTTCTAATTCCGCTCCCACCCCATCTCTTTCCTCTTGTATTTTCCTGTAGGGCAGGATAGATTTCTATACCCTATTGCCTGTATATATTATTTCCCAGTTGCTTGTGAAAACAATTTTTTAACATTTGTTTTTAAAACTTTGGTTTCCAAATTTTCTCCCTTCCTCCCTCCCCACCCACACTCATTGAGAAGGCAAGCAACTTGATACAAGTTATGCTTGTATAGTCATGTAAAACACTTCCATAGTAGTCATGCTGTAGAAAACTAACTATATTTCCCTTCATCCTATCTCCCCCTCCACCCCTGTTTATTCTATCCTCTCTTTTGACCCTGCCCCTCCTTAGAAATGTTTGCTTCTGATTACCCCTCCCCCAGTTTGCCTTCCCCGCTATCATCCCCCAGCTCTCTTACTCCCTTTCACCCTATTTTCCTGTAGGGTAAGATAGCTTTCCATACCCAATTGAGTGTGTGTGTTATCTCCTCCTTAAGCCAGATCCCATGAGAATAAGATTGACTCATTCCCTCTCACCTTCCCCTACTTCCTCTCCACTGTAAAAGCCTTTTCTTATCTGTTTTATATGAGATAATTTACCCCATTCTACCTCTCTCTTTCTCCTTCTCCCAGTATATTCACTCTCACCCCTTAATTTCATTCTCCAGATATCACCCCTTCATCTTCAACTCACCCCGTGCCCTCTGTCAGTCTATCTATACATATAATTTTTTTTTCTTCTCCAACTACCCTAATACTGACAAAGGTCTCATGAGTTACAAATATCATCTTTCCATGTAGGAATGTAAACAGTTCAACCTTAATAAG